TTCTTACAACCCCGCACGAGACCCAAAAAACCCGCCGCGCCCACATGAAAAAATATATATATATATATATATATATATATATATATATATATCATCTTAATGCCTTGTCTCGAATGCTAAAACGAGATTTGCCTACCTTAAAGCTGTCAATATATTGCGCATTTGAACTGATATCTTCTCTCTAAATCGTTGTTGTAGGATGAGCACAATTCCTGTCCAGTATGCAGGTACGAGCTGAGGACTGATGATCATGCATATGAGAGTTGGAAGGAGAGGGAAAGACCGAGGAAGAGAGGAAAGGAGCAGCTAATGCTCTTCGTGGTGGAGAATTTATGTACGTCTGATATTATGTTTTTTATTTTTTATTTTTCACCTTGAGAACACTGCAGATTGCTGCATCCATCTCACAAAATTATTGCTTTTTAGTAATATATTTTGTATGATTCATTGAGAACGCCTTCTGAGCTTCTTCTCGGAAATTTCACTATCTTTTTACTATTTGATTATTTCTGTTTCGAGTTCAACTTCATTTAGCACATATATGTGAGCCTTCTAGGGTAATACTTCTAGATTGATCTATTATCTCGTGGTTGAAGGAGATATTGGGACATGTAAATTGTGAGAAATGATTCGATAATAATCTATTATCACAGGGTTGAATATACAAAACAAAACATTGAACTGAAAATGTAAAAAAAAATTGAGAAAGGAAAAAAAGATTATAAAATCACAAAACAAAAAGAAGTTTACTAAGTAAAAATGATGAACATAGTAAGTTAAATAACTGTTGAGTTTCTTCACACTTTAGGACACTCATAATCCACTCTTTAGGCACTGCCATATTAGTTCTTCGACGCAATGTTCTCAGGTTTTATTATAAATTTTCTTTTGAGAATAATGTTACAAATATAGCTCCTCGATGCTGCTACAATAGCATTTTGGTGCTGATATTGAGAAAAAACATAAGTCCAGAGTCTGAACTCAAGCTGTGTCCGGACAACGGCTGCGATTCATCGGAACGAGCGGAGGAGAAAAAAAATAATCTGATGGATTGTAGCCGTTGTCGGGACACAACTTACATATGGACTCCCAAGTAATGTTTTTTTTCTGATATTGCAGTACTGTGCGTACAACTTACAAGCACTATATATATGAAAAAAAAAAAAAAATGGTAATGCCTTTCCCCTTGACAAATTGACCATCAAGCTGATCAATGAAATTAAGGGATCTGAGTTAGATAATTTATCCACATGATTTGGCTGCAGGAGAATATTATTTTTCTGAGACCCATTATTTAAAAGAAAACAAAGGACTAATTTAATGAGCTTGAGCCTCACAATAACAATGAGATTTCATTGGATCTTGTCGTGCTTGATACCGTATACACGCAGAAACTCACATTGCTGGGCTTCTGTCCGATCTCAACTTAAACTGGATTCTGGCTGGGAAACATTAAATAAAAAACATTTATAGAAAATGATTTCAATCACAAATTGTAAATTAGAGAAACATATTGGATTCCGATGACAGTTTGTATCAGATTTTGTCGAGTGATAGCACTGGTCAAATCAAGAGCTGCTGGAGGCATTTGTCAATACTTTATATTCATACCACACAATTTCCATCTATTTATATATCTAACATTTAAATTTCAAATTTTTAAAAATAACATCATTATTGTTTTTTTTGAAGTAAAAAAAAAAATACTTTTTTTTATAAAGATTCTATTATGATTACATTAATAAAGGGGTATTTGTATATGAAAAATAGGTCAGTACAAATCTCGAGACAGATGAGTAGCTCGAATGGTAGATAGGGACGATCGAATGAGGTTTTTGATGATTGTTTGGGTTAGATACTGGTGAAGGAGACATCTGCCAAGGAACTTTTTCGCAGGGTGGTGATCGACCCTAGGGATGATCGACAAGAAACATCTCTTTTTGGACTAACTGTTGGCAGACTCAAGACATGACGTACGACTGACGAGCTTCCTATCGATCAAATCAGTCATCCGGTAATAATTGACATGAAAAATAGATGGTGAATAAGTTATTGTTAGTTAAAAAACGTGTTAGCTATGAAAGTGCATAGTGGTGCAGATGACCATAAATAAATAAGTAAATAAATAAATAAATAAA